TACACTTAAGGACCCAATGCACGCATGATTTATATAGACAAATCGCGTGCCCAATGTACGTATTATTGTTCATACATTTAAGGCCCCCTGTTTTGACCCTCCACCAGTTCGAACGTCTAGGACAACTTTTGACTGCACTACGTCCCAAATGCTCATCCCTGCTAAGATGCTACCTGGACCTCAAAAGCAGAAGGGTTGAGGGTCTAGGCCCAGCCACCCATATAGTTTGCCCGAAAGGCTCTAGTTCTACCTAGCTGTTGTAATGCAAGCCGCAGCACCTCCCCGACCCCTCCAGCGCATTCCGAACCGGGTGAGTAATTTTGTCCCATTTATACAGTGTCATTGTCTCCTCTTTTGGGGTAGACTACTGGTAGAGTATTTTCTTTGAAGATGCGAAGCTTATCCGGTTCAACCAGACCCCCATATAAGCCCTAAACTATTAGAATCATCCTTATTACAGGGACCTCCCAAAACAAGGGTACCCCTAATTTTGGGAAACCTAAACCCTAAACCCTATATATCCCTATATTCCCCACAGACGTGCCGCAGGTGTCCATTGAGAGGGAGTTTGTGTTTCCCAACTCGAAGCAGGTCCGGGTGCTGAGCCTAAACCAAGCAGACGGAATTCCAAGTCTGTAGGAACAGTTTAGGATTTAGGGTTTAGGCTTTAGGGTTAGGACTTTAGGATGTTGGGCCGTGAAGCCCATCAATATTGGCTACTTGGTGCCTTCAAGTCCAATGTCTATAACTGTAGCACCCTGAACCCTAAACCCTGAAGGCTATTTTGGGCCTTGGGTTCACCCAGACAGCATGTCCCAGAGACCGGCTTTACTGATGCAAACACTTGCGGCAACAGGAAGCATAACATGTCGATCATTCTTCTTCCTACCTTAGACACAAAAGATCATTGCTTTCAGGACCCTATAGTAGAACATCATTCTCTGAAATCTTTGAACTGAAGGCTTTTGCTGGGGTCATAGGTAGACCTCAACAACCTACACCCTAAACGCAGAAGGGCTTCCCAGGGACAACTGCAGCTGATTTTTTGGAGAGCCTGTCCACAGGGAGCGCTATAGCATTCTTCCCCTTAGGATTCTTCCCCAACAAGGGTCCATTATGGTGTTTGGGTTGTTTACGGTTAGGGGTCCAGAGGCATGTACTATATATTACAGCTCGCGGACCCGTCTTGAAACACTCCGAGCCACACTTTTGGAGCTTGTTTTTTTTGATGGGGTAAATGCAGGTTTGAGTATAGTTAGAGCGGATTCGGATGGGATGGCAGTTTGCAGAATATGTTGCAAGGCACTGGGCTATGTTGAGCATTTTTGCCCACTCATGTCCACACAGATTCTCCACACAGTTGTCTCACAACCTGACATTCAGCTGGACCCTCGTCCATTCAGCCCCCGGAATTCATTAACATATTTCGCCGGGTTGGGTCCGGGAGTTAGGGGCTGAGGGTCGAGGATGGAGCGCCTGACCTGACTTCCATTTTGGGACCCTCTGTCTGCGGAATCTTGCAAAATTGCCCATGTGCCATGATCCTCACACGACCCTACACAACCTTGAATCCTGAACTGAGAATTCCCTAGCCCCGCCCGCCACGCGTGCAAGAAAGCCCAAACACGTGTTCTTACTTTGTGCTGTCTGAACATATCACCCATATCATGATCACCGTCATCCCGTTCTAGTCTCCATATATCCCTGAGATCGCCAAGGATGCCGGCAGTGGGAGTTTTCGGATAAGACAGACGGGTTTAGGGTTTGGGGTTTAGGGTTTATTCTAGATCTTGAAACTTAAGCCCCAAGCCCCTAAGCCCTTCACCCTGAACCCATCACTTTGTGGCTCCTGGATTATGTATCCGAGCCCAATACCGATGTGTTGTAGACCCCACTCTTCCGAGGTTCCCCAATCCTTCAGCCCCAATCCCTAAATCCCAAACCCTCAGCCCTACTCCCTAAACGCTAAGCCGTGAATCTTAAACCCTAATCCCTAAACCCTAAACCTGAACCCCTAAACCCTAATCCCTGAACCCCTAAATCCCTAAACTCTAAACCTTAATCCCCAGACCCTGAATCCTAAACCTTAAACCCTGAATCCTGAACCCCGATGCACCAGACCTGGGTCGGCTGTCCCATTGTCGCGGCCAACATGGACACCGTGGGCACGTTCGAGGCTCCGGCTCAAAGTTTAGGGTTTAGGGTTTGCAGTGTCGGGGCTTTGGGATTTTGGGGTTGGGGTTTCAGGTTTGGGATTTTTCGGTTTTGGGGTTGGGGTTTTACGGTTTCAGGGTGTAGGGTTTAGGGTTATTGGGTTTGTACAAGGGGCTCGCGCGCTCGGGCGCAAGCGCAGCAGGCCTCGACCTTATTCATTGACAGCTGTGTAACTAGCATGTTCTGCCGAGGCGACAGAACTGGTGACAGAGGTGAAGCCCGTCCTGCCATTCAGAAGTGGGAGGTGACTTGTTTGGGTGCATGTGAGCCTGGAATATGGGCAGGCGTGACCTGGAGAGAAATTCGGCACGAGCTGAGACGTTGCTGCCTCATTTGTCTGCAAAACTTAGTACCGCACAATGATGAGACCTGCAGGCTTGCTCCCGGTCGCAGTGATGGGACTCAAAGAGAAAGGCTTCACAATGGCGACCGTGGCGAATCTCTACGAGGGCGTCGCGCAGTCCTCAGGGTTAAAACGCACTCTGTGGCTCGCCTCTGCTGTCTCAGGCAAACAGCCTGGGGGTGCCCAGAGAAGCGCTTGAGCCCTTTAAGGTGACCTCATTGACCAGTTTATACGCCTAAAGTTCCTGGAGCTCCAGGCACAGACTAAGCCTTAAGCATGTGTCAGTAGACTGCAAGCTGCAAAGGCTGACCCAAAGACAGGCAAGCGCGGCCATCTCTTGACCAAAGAGGAGAAGAAGGAAGCAAGGGCCAAAGCAAAAGCCCTTGCCCAAAAGACCAGAACAACCAAAGAAGAGAGGCAAAAGGAGGCCGAAACTGCGGTAAAAACGTTGGAGGCAGGACGACTATTTGCATATGCCGCCAGTCCTTTTGTGCTCTCGGAACAGACAAAACGTCGCCTCAAGCGCGACGAGAACAAAAAGAAGAAGAAACAGCGGGCCGCCATGAAGGCTGAAGCGACCTCCTCCGCACAGGCGCTGGCCTAGGGCATGTTTGTTTCTGCCGCTGACAGTGCCATTCAGGCAAAGGCCAACCTGGAGGCCTTGCGCAAAAAAGAAGCCAAGCGCAAGGCAAACTATAGGCTCCAGCAAAAGAAAAGCAGCTTCTGAAGCAGAAGAAACTTGAGGTCAGCCTGAGCTTCTGAGTGCTGTTCGCATGAGTGTGTCTGGAGGAACGACAGCTGCTTCGGCAGAACCTGGAGAACTCGCTAAGCGCAAGCTGACCGAGGAGGTGCTGCGTCCTGTGTTTTGCTGCAACTAAACCCGTGCGTCGGGCAGGAACTGGACTATGCGTTGGCCTTGCAAGAGCAGGACTTGAAATAAAACCTCTGACCTCTGTCCTCCGAGCTACCAACTTTCCAGGATGGCGAGACACTCTCCACAGACGAGGCGAGGACAGCAGTTCTTGAAAAAATGAACGCAGCGGCCACGCCTAGGAGTTTGCGCTGGATGACGAGGAGGCACATGTTGTGCCTCGACGAAGCAGGGGTGTGCCTGTTGCAGGAACAGGGCATGGAAGCTGGGACCCGAAGCCAGGGCCCAACTTTTCCTGCTTGACTTTGCGAAAACGTGTAAACCAAGGAGTAGCTCCTCAGATCGCCATGGCAATGGCGGTCCACCTAGTCAAGGTCTCAGTGCGGCAGCATGTGTGGCCTGACAGCCAGCCACGCATTGCCGAGGCTGCCTGTGACGCGGGTCACCTTTGGCAGTGACTGAAAAACAAGTACTAGCGTTTCCAGGTGAGGTAAGGAACAGCAGTGGGTCTTCCGAATGGAGGATGGAGCAGACAGGGCTGCTCTGCAACCGCTGTCGCAACCACCGTCAAGCCTTTTAAGCCTGTGAAGGCTCCTGGGAGGCCCAGACCCTGCAAGGAGCATTTGGGTTGGGGATGGAAGGGCAGGTCCTGGGGGGTTAATGGGAGGGGTCCCCCTGTAACCGCCGCTTTGGGGTTATAATATAGCTACGCTATAGGGGAGGTCGGTATGGCCGCCCCCAATGAATTTTCCCGGAGGGGTAAACAGGACCTGCACTCGCTCGGGCTGTGAGCCCTCGGCCAGCGTTCGGGGTCTGTCGCTTGACGGCAGCGACCCCT